GAACGAAGGAACGAAGGAACGAAGGAACGGAGGAACGAAGGAACGGAGGAACGGAGGAGCGAAGGAACGGAGGAACGGAGGAACGAAGGAACGAAGGAACGAAGGAACGAAGGAACGTAGAAATTCGAACGAAGGAACGTAGGAACGAAGGAACGAATGAACGAAGGAACGTAGGGACGAAGGAACGAAGGAACGAAGGAACGAAGGAACGAAGGAACGAATGAACGAATGAACGAAGGAACGAAGGAACGAAGGAACAAGGGAACGAATGGAGGCAATGGATAAACGGAGAAGCTGGAAATTGAAGAACGAAAGAGCAAACGAGCGAAGGAATGTAGGAACGAGGGAATCAAAAAATGAAGAGAAAGGAATGGAGGAGAGAATGGAAAGAGGAACGACGCAAAGAAGGCACGGAGGAATGGATGTATAAGGAGATTTAAGAAATAGCGATGGTTAGCGTTTATGCTGAGAAATCTTTCGTTTGTTTGAAACAGTAACAAGCTGTTCAGCAAGAAAGGACTTACAGATGTTAATACAACTTTCGGATTCTGTCGAATAAATAAAACTGTGATTCAGATAACTAAGCAGTGAATTGAGAATATTAAAAAATAAAGAAATTATTAAAACTCAATAATCAAAAATTGTGTGGTCAACTCTGAAAAATATATTTTTAAGTCTGGTCAATAACCCCTTATTGACTAATCTTTAGTTTCAGAGACTCAATAGAGTCTTCAAGTAATCTGGGTTTGTTTTGGTTTAGCTTTGGTATAATGAGCTCTGTGAATCTCCCACTCTCTCGACCAATGAGGTGCAAAACTAAAACCAGTCACGACTTTCCCCTCGCGTTTTTCGGCGCTTTAGGTAGTTTGGTTTGTTTTACTTTGAGTTTTAATTGGCTTTTTAAGGAATTTTCCTTTCTACTGATTGGCTGTTGTAATTGCTTTGGTTTTGGTTTTACGACACTCAGTCGAACAGCGCTCTTTGTAATTGTCAACCATTAAGTTGATGTTGATATTTGTTGTTTCCCCCAAAGGTGCAGCTACGTTTCCCTTTCGAAAAATCATAATAAAATTTTGCTTACCTTTTTAATAACATTAAAATTTTTTTAAACTCATTTAGATCTTTTCACCTATTTGCTGTGGGCTCTGCGGTTACAGTAACTCAAAAGAGAATAAATAATATAATTTATGTTCTATGGCATAAATATGTTTTGGGCCCAACTCAGCGAGATTAAGTGACTCTGAAAAAGGCCTCAAACAAATTTATGCCCGATAACATTAACTCTATTACTATCATTATCATTTTAGAGGGCATTGAGAAAATAAAAAGTGAAAATAAGAACAGAACAGTCTGAACATCTACGTCGGCGTACGAGCAGTGATAATGATGGTGAAAACGCTGTAGTTTATGAAGACAATAATAATGGCAAAGATTTCAACATACGTCATTTACTGGTGCAGTTTCGTTGTCGGCAATTGGGAATGCAGTGTCGCCACCCAGTGTAGGCTCGTTTAAATAATAAAAGAACGTCAAATACCTAAAATAAAAATAAAACGAAGGCTGCAATTAATGACGCACTTGTTGGGTCTACGTTTCATTTCTATCCATCCCTACGTTTCATTTCTATCCATCCCAATCCCATTTCTCACCCACCCCTTTCCCATTTTCCACCCATTCGTTTACCTTTCCACATAATGTACTAAACTTGTGCAATTACAGGGCCGACTAAATCATTTGAGACTTTAAAATCTCGATGAAAGCTATATTATGACATAAATCATAAGGTGCCGTTTGTAAAACTTCTAGTGAAATTCTAGAAATAAACTTTAGGAACGCATAATTTTGCTTGCTCAAATTTCAATCAGTGCGATAAGCACATTTCAAACACGAATTATTCAGCCGACCCACCTGCACGGAATACAATCGATATCTTCGAATTCACTCTCCTCGAGACTTTCAACTTGATGACAGCAAGGCAAAAGTTTTTCTAATTCATTGTCTGAATCATAATGGCAGTGATAATGCTGCTTCTCACGGTATCTAATAACCTAAAGCGTTAAAAAAGCGTCACGGTTATAATGATAACGATAACGATAACGCTAACTGTAATTCGTTTGAATCATAATGGCAGTGATAATGTTGCTTCTCACGGTATCTAATAACCTAAAGCGTTAAAAAAGCGTCACGGTTATAATGATAACGGTAACGATAACGCTAACGGTAATTCGTCTGAATCATAATGGCAGTGATAATGCTGCTTCTCACGGTATCTAATAACCTAAAGCGTTAAAAAAGCGTCACGGTTATGATGATAACGATAACGATAACGCTAACGGTAATTCGTTTGAATCATAATGGCAATGATAATGTTGCTTCTCACGGTATCTAATAACCTAAAGCGTTACAAAAGCGTCACGGTTATAATGATAACGGTAACGATAACGCTAACGGTAATTCGCCTGAATCATAATGGCAATGATAATGTTGCTTCTCACGGTATCTTGTAACCTCCCGGAAGACAATAAAAGGAGGTGTGTGTTCGCGTTGATACGTCAAAGTGTAAGATCTTACCAGACCAATCCATAATGCACAAGCTTATACCACGATCATTTTCAAAACATCCGACGACTTATAAATACATTCACTCTCAATTTATAGAATTGAAGCTTATACCACGGTTATTTTCAAAATATTCGACGACCCATAAAAACGTTCATTCTGCGCTTGCAAAAACTTCACGCTACGCTACTGGAACACCATTCCCCTTCTACTGTAAATGCACAATCCAGCTTCAACGTTCCTTCATACCTGGTCCTCATAAAACCTGAATGCTCATTTCTTGACGCGAGGAAGATGCTTACTCTCTGGGTGGAGTTAACATGGGAAATTTATAATAATAAAGGGCGCAAAATACAGGACAGTGCACTCTGCATGCTCTGTAACACTGTCAGTTCTTTTAGGTGTCAAATGCATCTAACTCTATACAATTTTCCAAGTAATACACATGCCACAATTTTTGGGCTTTCCAAGTTCTCATAATATGCATACTTGCATGCTCTCAGTCTAGTGGTTCATGAGTTTCAAACACTGAACTATGCGCTTCTTTCTTCTAGATACGATCTCTGTCATTGTAAATTACTGAGCTAATTTGAAGCGATTGGGTCAACTCAAACTCGGACCTTGAAGTTAAGAATTAATAAGGTTTTTGCAAAGAACACTACACACATATTTAAAGAGGAGGGGGATCCAATATTAGTGGAATTTAGGGGTGTTTATAGAGGTATAGGTTACTCATTTTTTACATCACAGAGGGTTTCAATGCACCCTCGGTACGTATACTCTCTTCCCTTAATGACGTCCTAAGGTCTTACGACGTACCTCTCTCGTAGACTATCGAATAGTGGTTTGAAATCCACGTGCTCGTATGGATCAAGGAAAGCAGTGCTGCTATCTCGGGTTCGTTTATTTGGCTTTGTCTGATGAATTTTCTCCAAGTAATGCGTTATGTCTTTCATCTTGCTTTCTGTGGTTAGTCTTATGAATTCGTTGTATGTTATCACACCTAAAAAAAGGTTATTGGTTAAGAAGAATAAATTAGCTACCTCATAAATTTAAAGCATCTATGACGTTAGCCGAGCAGAAAAAAATGATGATAATTACAACGACAACAATTGAAAAGACAAATTCGGCCTTGTCACTTTGCCACTTTAACGGGACTCAGGAACAAAAAGGGACAAAGGAAGGAAGGAAGTAAGAAGGGAAAGAAGGAAGAAAGGAAAAAAAAAGGGGGGAACGAAGGAACGAAGGCACGAAGGAACAAAGAAACGAAGGAAAGATGTATATTTTTCACGAATTTCGCTACACCTCGTCCAATGATCACTAATTAACTCACCGTCATTATTTGGGTCCATGGTTAAGTCTTTCATGCTGCAATTGTATCGGAAAACGTAAAGTAAATCTTTAAAGACTATTCCATAAAAGGAACCAGGCAACTGCATAGAAAGCCATAGGTCTCCCCTACTCGAGATGCTACATTTCCACGCTAGCTACCCTCCTCACTTTCTTCTCGATCACAAGCTGTGATATCTTTTGAATAAAAAAACACTTTGGTAGATGTTAAGCCCGGAGTCATATTTAGGGATGATATCTCGGTGACTTATAAAACTGTCAAAATTGTGTGAAGAATCAAGCCACGTGAATTCAAAACTACGTACATTTTTTTAGTAATTTTTTCGTCGACAAGAACTCTCCCCAACTCCATAAGAGCCTGAGAAATCTGTTACAAAAATAAAAATGGATAGAGGCATAACTGTTATTCATCTCTCGGTATACTTATCTTTGAGTAAAGTTCATGTGAGCTATAGTTTTATCACTCCACTTTGCACTCACAACTTGAGAGTAAATTATATACTGTAAAAGGAGGTTTACCAACAGTTGTGACAGCAGTGGAGTTTTTTTTAAGGACAGATTAGCTCTTACATGGACTTAAAACAGTTTTGCGAACAGACATTCCAACGTTCAGCTTGAATAAAATCGTTGGAGATAGGGAGATGATGAACAAAATTTAAAGTGTACTCTAACTGCCATGACAACGAGAAGGATTTCTCAATATGTTTGTTGATAAGTGTTACCACAGCTTAGTCTAAGAGTTCTAGCTTGATGAATGACGGTGTCACAAAATGCTTTATTCTCTCTTAATTATCACTCTTATGATCTTTAATATTCAATTCAACTTTTGGAATGAGAGGGTAGGCGGAAAGAGAATTAATAATTGTCAGTGACTCAAAGCATCCTGCAAGAACAAAGATCTCATAAGAACATATTGATATAAAATGACGTCGCGAAAAATTTGATGTGATAAGTGAATACAACCAAACTTCCCTACATAAATGAATAAAAGAGGGGTAATTTCCCAATGAAACTGTGTGTTGCGTCGAGGGCTTTTAAAGGATCATTTGGTTTCATTTTAATGATAGTTGACAGTGTAAACTGGCCACTGTAAAAAGTTTCTAAGGCTTCAGAAATTCTTTACCGTGGCCAATTTACATTATTGACTCAGTTGATAAAACCAAATTATCTTGCAAACTCCCTTATGCGTAGGAAAAAGAAATTGATTTTGACACGATAGGTATTAGGACATTAAAACAAAGCTAATACAGTCCCGGATTACCTCAGACATCAGTTGAAACTTTCTCTGGAGTGAATAACAATTTTACATAGTATACATCTATTACCCACCTCTGCTACGTCCATGCTTCCATCAGCATTTAAGTCGAGATGCAGGAAAGTTTCCGCTGGATTCTCTGGCACATTTCTTTCCGCGGTTCTGTTTGGACTTTGTTCCTCGCCATCGGGTACTTTTTCTCCAAGAGTTTTAGATCGCTCTAGACCTTGCGTTTTCGCCATGAAAATTATATCATCGCATTCCTGTTCGCTAAGAAAATCCTGGATTTCTAAGAGTAGAATAGAAAGAAATTTGCATTCGCAAGTGAAAAAATTTGGGAAGGAAAAGATCTTTTTTGTAATCTGTTCATAACTCTTTCACCCTGACATCAGTATACATAATATCCATAAAGTTCGTAAGGTGCCGACAAGGAGAATTTATGAAACAATCAACAGCTCCTTTAATTGGTGATCATTTCCTTAACTCTCCTAACCTTGATTTTTGTTTCAGGGTCGTATTTTAAGGCGAAACCAAGGTAAATGTTAGTTACTCTTACGGATCAAAGGATTTACTAGACTCATATTGGGCGTGGCCCAGCGTTCGTGTCCGGATTTAAGGAGGGCTCTCTCTTAAAGTGGAGGGGTGAGCATAAGAAATTTAATTATGAACCTACAAACGTCGATAGAATGTTTAACCCACTGGATAACCGTTTTTAAAGAAATAATTCTTTAGAACAGTTATCCAGTGGGTCCTAGTACCCCAGTAGTCTTAAGTCTTCATAAGGAATTCAGTATTAGACTGTGTCTTCATGATAGCACACCAGTTTGATTTATTTACGTTAACTATATACATAGACATCAAATTGGTCTATACTGAAGAACAAGGTATGACATGATGACCTTACCAAATAAGGTGGGACGTAAACTAAGGGTCCTCATTGTATGTACTTTCCCAGGCACCAAATTTAGTTCACGCACATAACCAACCTATAAGGGACATTTTAGAACGTGAGCTCTCATGTTAAGTGAGAAATCGAGCAAACACAGAGGCGATGTGCTTTGTAATGCTAAGGAATGACCATTAATTTCGATTTTGGAAATTACTGGTCCGAAACGTTGATATAATTAAACTGAACAAGCTTGGCCGTTTATTCTTTAGGAATTTCTGCATGCATCTTGAGTGTCTTAGTGGAGTTAGCCGTTAGTAGTTAAACAGCCAAAAAATTTTAGACGTAAGGGGTGAAAATAGACAGACTTAAACCGTTTGTCGTAAAAAGGGTAAATTTACACGATCAAAGTCTTGGACTGTTTCATTACATTATATTTCTATACATATAGTAGTATTGTCACTATAAAGCAGTAAGCTATATATATGTCCGTTACATTTCCTGTAGTACCTCCACATATACATTTACTTTAATCACGTATCTTTTTCTATCCTGGAATAAGTAAGAAGTAAACGATGGGTCGTAAATGTGTTTTAAAACAATAAAATCAATTAAACCTTCAAAAATAATCTATAATCTGATATTTAAGAGGCTGTCTCTCTTATTTCCACCCGGTCAATTTCGCGTCAAAAATAATTTTGCATGAAACTCTGTCAACTGAAAGACTTTACTAAGGAAAGAGCTAAATTGGACTTACTGACTGCATTAGGGACCATAATTATTTTCCCAGTCCGTAAGGACCTTCGCAACGTCTCAAAAATTGAAAAATAGGCATATTTTGTAACATTGTAAAATGTTTGATTCGCATAGTTAAGCCACGAAATTTATATTAGATTGCTTAAAACCTTTCTAGTTTGCCAAGAGTGTTAGAATTTCCCTCTCAATATATTTTAAAAGGCGAACTTTTAATATATTCTGACTACTATAAATTGCCATCGGCCGATGGCCGTAAATAACCTTGATTTAGACGTTAAGTTTTGGGATTTGGGACCAAATTGACAACTCTATCCTACACGGCCGTTAAGTTTAGACCTTTGGCAAACTAGAAAGGTTTTTAAGCAATCTAATATAAATTTCGTGGCTTAACTATGCGAGTCAAACATTTTACAATGTTACAAAAATATGCCTATCTTTCAATTTTCGAGACGTTGCGACGGTCCCTACGGACTGGGGAAATAATTAGAATTTCCCTCTCAATATATTTGAAAAGGCGAATTTTTAATATATTCTGACTACTATAAATTGCCATCGGCCGATGGCCGTAAATAACCTTGATTTAGACGTTAAGTTTTGGGATTTGAGACCCAATTGATAACTCTATCCTACACGGCCGTTAAGTTTAGACCTTTGTAGGCAAACACATGTAAAAATCCCTGTACGTTTTCGGCTTTTCAAAAGTTATGAGCATTTGAATCAGCATATGCACGATCATGTCTGTATGTCTACCGCAACGGAATTAAATTAACCATACCGGCCGTAAAACGTCCAAGGTTTTAAATGTTAGCTGTAAAAGCCATCGCCCAATTGAGACCTTTCATCTCTACTTTGGATAAACTTCGTTCCTTGCAAACAACAAACACCAAATGGACTGAAAATCAAATTCTTTTTTTTGTTTGTTTATCACGTACGTGGTGATACTCATTTCAATTTCGTGCGCGAGAGTAAATGAGTGATGTATTTATTTTGACAGTTGAGAAAAAGAGAAATCAAACACTTTATTCTTATTTTTTATCGCCCTTGGGCTCAAGCAAAGATGATTTTGTTCTCCTCTACGATTCCCATGTTTAGAATATGATGAACTGAGGGACATAAAACGCACGATTCTGATATTTAAATGAGAATCGAAGAGTCCTCTCTCTAAGAATAAGCTGACGTCTAGACAACGGCAAACTGAAAGAAAATTTATAAATCGTCTGCCTTCAACAACTTGTAGGCTAAAAATAAAATACTTGAAAAAAAATGGCTGTTTTCTAGAAGTTTTTTTGAATAATAAGAGAAAAGTGAGTATAAAAATCAAAGTGCTATTTTTTCCGTTTAAATTTTTCTTTTTTTTACGCCATTTTACACTCGCTAACCACATGGCATCGGCAGCAGGAGATCTCTGAAATCGCCGCCTCGCTGTCGGCGGTTAAAAACTCGAATTTTCCAGTTTAACACCATTGGCGAGCTGTTATTATATAACTACGCATAGTTTTGAAACAATACATATCAAAATGTCCATTGTTTTGTTTTCAAAAAACAAAAAAGCACTTAGTTCAAAGTTCACCATACTACGATGATATTTTCCATAAGCTACGTTATGGTTAAAGTTAGTGCGTTGTGAATATCGGATCAATTTTTGATGACAAAAGACTTTGTTATACAGTTCGTAAAATGACCCTCTATGATCGACGCATGCATAAAATATGGGTAATTCTTTCACTTGATATTTACACAGCTGGCGTAGTTAGGCGAGTAAAAACTATATTTTAATTCAAAATGTTAATTCAGCTAAATGCGACAGATATTTCTTAAGATACGCGACAACAAAGAAAACATACAAATTGCGTGTTCTAAGAAGGAGGTATATATCTACATACGTATAACTTTTTTTTGCTAAAAGATGCTTCTAGCTCAATGGATTTTTCCATACACTTTACTAATATGTCAGACATCAGAATCATTAACGCGTCATGAAAAAATACTCATTTAACACGTTAAGCCTGAGGAGATGAATATACGAATCCCAAATTACCTGTTTCATATTTGCATGATTTGGCGTAAGAATATAATTCGTCTTTTTCTAAAAGGCCGAGTCTGTTAACGATAAATCATCATAACACATTAAGACAAACCGAAAAATTACTGTATTGTCGCCTAGTTTATTTCAAACAAGAAAACCTGTTTATCTTGTTATTTTTCAAATAGCGGTTCATAAAAAAAATAAATAAACTGCATAAAACTTCATTCGCCCAAATAGATAAATTCGAAAAAAATAGTGGACTGTATTTCCCTTCTCTGTGTCGCGAAGACTACACAAATGTCTAACATGGCTTAATAATGCACCCTCAAACAAGGAAATCTATGCCTCTTTCTCTAGTGCATGATTTTTTAAAACAGTTCTTCGTAATGAAAAGAAATACATTTGGGAATGCTATTCTCAAACTATCAATAGATATGTTTCTCTTGATTTAGGGGCATTTATATCATTTCAAATAAATAAACCTACATACAGACTGAGAAGTTTGTTATACAATCTGTTACTTTTTTTTAAGTTAGGCACACAGTTTACCATTATTGGTGTCAGAAATATATATCGATCATTGCACTGGGGCTTCGTTATTTAGGAGTTACGTACAGGAAGGTTCTTTTCCGTACAATTTACTGTTATTAAGCGATAGGAAATCGCTCGTTTCGATGAAGTCTTCGTCTCGTCGAACTGTACTGTAGCCGTCATTTGCTTAAACAAGTACATACGTAGTGCTGGTTAACTCGCCAAGAATTAGTAATATATGACTATTGTTCAACCGTTTACTGACCTCCACTGGGTCAATTCGATGCAACCTGTATGGACTTTCCTCGTTTTCTTGTCCGCCTGTAGCTGTCTCTGACAGGTTCAGTCGCTTCTCTGCGACAATGTTCCTGTTGAACCAACATCTCAAAGCTACTGAGAAGATCATTACCGCGATCGAGACATAAGATAAGCGTAGGTACCCTGGCTTTAAAGAAACTTTTAACATTTTTGTCAATAAAACGCCGCGTGAAGGTTTTGGTTTTAACAAGACTGGGTTGATAACAAACTTATTGACCACGAATTAAAGATATGATACCTTCACTGAGTTCTAGTACTTAAGATCAAATCGATAAGGCGTAAGTCATTCAATGTCACAAAACATTAAAAACTGTCAATAGATTATTAAAAAATGTAAATGAACACCATGTATTTTGGTTGTTTAATTCTCAAGAACAGGTGTTCACAAATGTCACTGATCGTCTTTGGAATTGTCACCTCCGACTAAGATTACGCCTCGCACGATCCGTCCAAGTCTGAAACCTTGTTTAACTTAGTAAGTATTTTGTCGCATTATATGTTCTGTATGAGAGTAGGTGATTGTCTAAGCGATTCCACGTCGCTTTTTTAACTGCTAGCCAAAGTTACGCTTCGCAAATGTACGTTCTAGTAAGCTAAGTTTTTAAATTGTGTACAGGCGGTGTTATCGCTGCTTAATACTGCAAAACCATTGGTTAGCTAAAGAGAACACGTTAATGAGACGTTCCTCCTTTTAACTCACCACTCAATTTTCGGGTAGCCTGCGTAGCCTGGCTCTTTTAAGGGAGGTGGGGTGTTGGGGAGGGTTTAGGGGTTTGGGGCGGAAAAGAGCCTGCTTTCAGCCTATTCAAATTTTCGTGTTTACGTTTGCCGGCGAACGTAAGCATTTGATTCGCTAGCAGTAGGTTTGATCGACATACGCGTAGTCACGCACGATTTGAGCTACAAGCTGACTTCCGGTCAAGCGGCCATCTTGTTTTGGATGGTATGTGAACATAAGGTATGTCGTTTCAAGCGAAACCAGAGTAAGAAAAAGCTATAAATTGTCTATTGGAAGGAAGCGATGTTCTGGCTGTTCTTCCTACAGGATTTGGAAAGAGTTTTATTCATGAAAAGTTTTCTGAGATCACGAATTCTGGGGACGGTCCTACTGTTGTTTTAATTTAGTTATCGCGCCACTAGCAAGCATTGTGAACGATCAGATACTACATCGTAACATTAAAAATCCTGGTACTGCTGTTGAGTTGTCAAAGCTTACGACCGAGGATCTACAGAAATCTACTTTCAAGCTTCTCTTCTGTTCAGCAGAGGATGCATTTCGTCGTGAGTTTACCGAAGAGCTCAAATCTTCTAGTGATCTACACGAACGTCTCTCTTTGATCGTTGTCGATGAAATGCACACGGTTGAAACGTGGTCTGGAAGACGGTAGGTGTTCAGCTTTTTCATGACATAAATTCCGTTAAGTCTAATTTGTCTTACTGTAAAAATCGCATGTTTTCTTTCCTTTGGTGGCCGTTCGAAGAAGAAGAATGGCAAACGGCGTTCCGCTGCGCATATGGAAAACTCGCCACACTTCGTTCTCTTTGCAGAGAAGGTACTTCACTTATTCTATAGAAATTACGCAGAGAAACTCTCATTTATTTGTAATAATGTTTAAACAATCAAATGGAGGTTGTTTTCACCCTGTAAAAAGTCAAGAAATGAGTTAAAGTGCACCTAAACCCAAAAATGTTTTTCGCTTAACGAAATAAGCGTATTTTTGGAGTATTTCTGTGCAAAAAGTTTTTTATTTGCTCAAATCTTCAATTTTCTGTGCCCAGTCAAAATACGGAAAAACGGCCGCCATCTTGCCCCATGACCGAGTTTAAAGAGGAATGGCTCTAGCGGGTAATGTGACGTCAAATCGAGAACACGAAAGTCTGCATTTCACACATTTTCACTTGTTTGGGAAGGTTGTCGTCGATATTGTCCGAAATATGCCGACTAGGTGTGTTGTATGAGGAATGTATGAAGCGTGATACTCTCTAGCAAATTTCGCACGTTGTTTATGGAGTTAAATTTGCACGAACTTTACTTTTTTTGATAATATAATGCACTTCTTGAAGAAGAAAACTTCCTATCTAATAGATGTAACAGAGAAATTTATGATCTTTCGATTATGAGTGACTTCCACCAAGGTTGCCGTGATGTCAGTCGTTAATATAGACAATAGTCCTCCTTTGTGTTGTACTCTCACCGGGACGAGCACAAAACACGATCAACTTTAGATTTGTTCTTATTCTCAGCTCTGGTGATTACTTCCGCTATAGGGTTGTCGAAACATCGGTCGTTCATAAACCCTTAGAAAAGTTTTCTAAGGCTTTGTATGGGACAACGGGAGGTACTTACAGTGCACGCATTTTCCGTCCTGTCATTATTACATCCGAAACAGTCCCTCTCAGCAGTACTACTCTATCAAATTTTCGCACTTTTCGAGGACAATTTGCTTTACTAAAAATCCCCTTTCATCCTTCTCAATTTTCCTTCCAAGCTTCCTTATTATCAATTCTCTAAAAATTTCAACTAGTCTCCATCTTCAAAAAAAAAAAAATGACCAAAACCAATGTCGCCTTGTTAAGACTAAGAGCATCCGTCAAGGAAACAGTTCCAAACTACTTCATGAACAGGAAAATTTACAGGCGCATTGAAAATAAGAAATGCATTGGGCTAAATAAGAAATGACCTACATTTCTGTAACTGTTATTAAGAAGAATGCTATAGGAACGGACCGTTTTTGTCCGAAAATATGCCGACTAAGTGTGTTGTAGAAGGATGTAGCAACGTGCGAAATTTGCAAGAGGGTATCGCGCTTCATACATTCCTCATACAACACACCTAGTCGGCATATTTCGGACACTATCGACGACAACCTTCCCAAACAAGTGAAAATGTGTGAAATGCAGAATTTCGTGTTCTCGATTTGATGTCACATTACCCGCTAGAGCCATTCCTCTTTAAACTCGGTCGTGGGGCAAGATGGCAGCCGATTTTTCCTATTTTGACTGGGCAGAGAAAATTAAAGATTTGAGGAAATTAAAAAATTTTTGCACAGAAATACTCCAAAAAATAAGCTTATTTCGTTAAGCGAAAAAAAAAAATTTTGGGTTTCGGTGCACTTTCATAGTGTAGTACAACGCAACTTACATTTTTATTAATAAACAATCAGTCACCTAAACAATATACTTTTGACTTTTGTAGATGTTCCAGTACTTGCTTTAATTTAGTGCGCTGGCGCTCTCGCTACGCGCCAAACTTTCACACGTGAAATTGACAACTCCCTCCACTTCCGGTGATCGCTGATTGGCTAGGGTAATTTCATCCCTAAAGTGGGCGTTATAAAATTTGAATAGGCTGAAAGCAGGCTCTTTTTCCGCCCCAAACCCCTAAACCCTCCCCACCACCCCCCTCCCTTAAAAGAGACAGGTTACGCAGGCTAATTTTCGGGTTATTGGCGGCCTTTGTTTTCGCTCTGTATTAACATTCAGCCTTCCGCCCTAGTCACGCGAAAGTTTTAACATGTTTTCAATTTGTTGTGTTGAATACGATTGAAACTTTCTTTTCTTCATAAAAGCTGTTTAAACCGATGTTTGTCGACTTCAAACTTACCACAATGAAAATACAAATTGGTGACTGCTTGAAATTTATGAAAAATTCAGTTTTTCAGTCCTGTTTCTGATTTTCAAGCTGATTTAACAAAACAAGTTTTTCTGGTGTAAGATGAAATAAATTCGGTTTAAAACTCTTCTTACCTTAAATTTAAAGTCGCCCCAGGCTTAAGAAGGCCTGCAAAATGGTGAGTCAGCGACGTGCCACTTTGTCCAGAATGACATTCCTTCAGATACTCATCATCACTACATGAAATATTGATATCCGACTTTGAGGTCTGTTTACATACAATCAAACAAAAGATTACATATAATGTTGAAAAAATACTAAAACGATATTCTGCAATACTGACTAACTTTAATATTTGATAACAAATTTCTTGCTAAAAATTTTACACGGAATTAAAGCCACAGACTGTGTTGATCTGTTATGCGCTCGACTGCAAAAACTTTAACTCTATGAAGCGAAAGCAACGAACGATGAGACCAACAGCTTTATGGATCCACATGTACATGAAAACCATAATTAATTGACCACTTTCATAAATGGCTGCCGTACTAATATTCTTTTGTTTAAATTTAAATTAGCCTCAGTGGCCTCGCTTGATATATTGTTTTCTTTTGAATTTTGTATTGGAGAACGAGGCTAGAAAGGCTAATTTAAATTTAAACAAAAGAATATTAATCCGGCAGCCATTTATGAAAGTGGTCTATTGCACGTAGTAAATGATAGAACCCATCCGTACTTTCCTAAAGGAAAAGAATTGTCTTCAACAAAGATTTTAATGAATAATGAAAAGTGAAGCATTTATTGGAACATTTCCCATAACGCAGTTGGGCCTCATTGATAATGGATCAAGACTTAAAGGTGTCAGCGTTGTAGCGATTGTACAGCGTTGTAGCGAGTGTACAGTATGTTTCTCAATATTCTCATCACTTAGACCCAGAGGCTGCGCTCTTGTAGATAAATTTCTGTCTACATAAAACCTAGTGTAATTGTTTGAATTCTGAACTAGAAACTCACGTGAGACGGAAAATGTAAGATAATCACACAGTATAATTTATGTTGTATTCGACATCAATCAGGGCCGCCAATAGTCATGTTCAACACCACCACAGAATAAAGTGATCTGAATCGAGAATGTTGTTAGAATGGTTCGTCGGCGTAATAGCAGCAAAATAACATAAAGCCACTATATTAGGCCGGTTTGATCTATCTCCCAGTGTCATCCTATAAGATTTCTTGTGCTATAGTCTTTACTGCTGTATGCCATGGCTAAAAGAAAATTTGTTATACTCTGCAACCTCGTTTCAAGAGCACCTGTTCGTAAAAACACGTTATTTTTTTTTTCACGGACGATCACCTTTTTTAATTCATTTAACGAACGAAAACTTGAGCCGTTTAATCTAAGCAAAACCAAGTTAACCCAACCATTTCCTTAACTTGCTCTGGTTTTAATTTCTCGATCCGACTGTCGTTACAGACTCATTATCAATGTTTAATTGTACAGGACCATTACCGTAATCTGCATCGTTTTCAATGCGACGTAACTTAATTGCACCACATTTACCCATGTAAAACAGATCAAGATTTTAATTTCGCGTTTTTGAATAACTGATCATCCATTTAAAAGAGATCGATTTTACGAAAGTGCTGAAATATCACTGTTTTCTGAAATTACAGCAGGTGACACAGCGACTCTGTGAGCACTCCTTACCTTCGAATGCGTAAATTTCCGGTCTGTTCCAAAAATATCTCGAGGCGAACATGATTTGTTGGTGAGTAGCTTGGGAGACAGGTTTTCATGAACGGATAATCCACGATTAATGATAAGTCCAAGCATTAGAAGTATCATTAAAATTTTTACCATTTTTTGCCCAAAAAAAAACCTGTTTAAGGTTTTGATTACTTCAAAACAAAGTACAGCACCGACTAAATCTAACGAGTTTTCCAGAGAGGAAATGTTCACAATGAAGACAAAAAGAAGCGAGTATCCAATATCACAGGCGTTAGTTTCAAATAACAATTTCATGTCTCCTTTTTTGTATAAGTCATTGTTTCCTTGACATTTCATAGGATGTTTCGCTAATTTATGCCATTTCTGTCGAGATAAGGATTAAAAACTAACCAATTCGTCTGGCAACTTGAAAGAACTTGCTCATTATCTTTCAGTTTTATGGGAGAGCATTTTGATCAGTCTGAACAAACTTGAGGTTGTCAAAGAGACACGTTTCAAGACAGAAAAAATATGGGGAATGAATCAGTAGGGAAAATAATTACTGTTAACAATAATTGTTTATTGATGTCCTTTGGATAAAGTTACAAGCCCTCAAATAATTATACAATCTCTTTTTAGTTTTCTTTACATTCACTGTATTCCGAAAATTTTAAAGTTGAGATGATCGTTTATCAGCAGCTGATAATTAAAATTTTGACGACAGACAAAGAACGCGTGTTGTTTACCGTCAGCTTGCTAATTTTCTTGATCATGACAAAACTATCGTATCAAAAAGAACAATGATTTCTTTTAAAAGGGAAATTAATCGTTTATCTCACGATGCGGTTACATGATGGTGACCAAATGGTGAGACAAGCGATTACATTTCTCTTCTAAAGGGCTATTTACTACGACGAATAACCACAACCTATTTTACGACATAACGATTTTTTTTGTTTTGTTTTTTCCTCTGAAAATTACTAAAAAGTTGCTTTGTTTCTCCTCTCTGAAAATTGCAAAATTGTTGTCAGATGTCAAGTTCTTTAAATAGCTTGAAATGAAAAAGATTTCAAAGTAACCACAAGGTTTTATGACCTTTTTAAGATAAGTTTTACCATAATTAACAATTATCAGTTTTCACCAAGGTAAATATCCTCCACTTTCACCGCGGTGGTATATTATTGTTTATCTTATATACCAAACAGACACAAAAGAAATAATTCATTTCAGTTGATATACAAATAGTCTGACGCGCGATATTTTGTCTCACAATTAGATTAAACCAGCCAATCAACGGGCGCGAAAAGCACTATATTTTCACTCGTGCGGTATGTACTCAACAAAAGTACACTATTAATATAATCCACATGGTTAACATGGGGTTGGCAAGCAGGTGCAAGGGGCAAAACTTAATGCTGTTCGCATGAATTGACTCTACAGTTTAGTTAGATAGTAGAAAGGGGGACCTCTATCTTTTTGTTGGAGAAACTCGAAGTTTTCAAAAATAATTTCAGAATATTGAAAGGAAACTTACCAAATTCTTATAAAAAAAGAACGATGATGAGGCGTTATTTCATTACCTTGTTTTGTTTTGCTTTGTTTTTTTTCACTGAAAATTACGGAAGAGTCTAAAGATGCCCCATTCTTGGGATAGCTTGAAAGGAAAACTTTGGGGGATTCCAAAGTAACCATATCATGGCTTTAAGACATCTATGCATTCATTTTACATTATAAGCCAAAAATTGGATGTAAACCAACATTGTTCATGGGTTGTGTAAACTGACTGTGCTTGAGACAAAAGTTAATGTTATTACTACCCGTACTTATTGGCCCCATATCCAAGTAAGAAAGTGTAAGGAGGACTTTTTATTTTTGGTTGGAAAAACTCGAAGTTTTTATTTTTAAATTCACAGTAACGAGAGAAAGAAAAAAAAAGAAATTCTTAGGATTACTTGTTACAGGGTTCGTACCCTTTTTTGGACTAAAAATTCAAGGACTTTTCAAGGACTTTTCAAGGACATATTTTTTATTTTTCAAGGACTCCACCAACTGCAAAATAAAAGAATGTTCACCTTATCATAGTAGCGATTGTGCCGAGCTTAAGTCGAGCTAAAAGTCTATGCCTTTTTTAGTTCATCCACAACATTCGCAATTTTGCACTCAAGGTCTTTGCGAGCTATCTCCTTTTCTTTTGCAGTTCTCCTCAAACTATTTGACTTTGTAATCCACACAAGTTTCCCAGTGTCCTCTGCTTTCTGTGCAAACTCGTCTGCCCATTTAACAAGATTGTCAACATCACTGTCTAAACGCCTTCTTTTCTTTTTAAGTTCTTCAAGTTCATCGACTAGCTCCTTTCGCTTCAGTTCTACACCCTCAGAGGTTTTCTTCCTCTTTTGTTCATCAAGATATGATAAATACTTCTGCCTAGCTCCTGCAGCTGACAAAAGAAGTGGTTTGTTGATTGAAACAGCAAGGACACCTCCCACAGATTGTACATGGTCTTGTACCAGCCTTTGAGCAATGAAGGAGCGCTCTTGGAGGTTCTCGACTTCCAGTTGCTTATTGACTGAGAATCCTCTTTCGACACTGGCCTGGCCATGTGATAATATCAGTAGCTCTGAGACTACTTTCCACAATGATTGGTAGGATCGCTTCTGTCCCATATGAAGATACAGAAAGGAATCAAGTCTAGCATTGTTAGGATCATAGTCTTTGAACTCCGACGGAGAAGAAGAGGGGACTTCCATAATGAATTGTCTAAATAGTTCCAAAAGGGAATCACATTCACCTTCCGGGACTTTCTTGGCATTTTCAAGGGTAGTCAAAACTCTCTTGAATTTTGTGATGGAAACATCATGGTCACTCATCATGTTTCTTGGATCTAAGCAATTTATATTCCTTATACGGGAATACTGAATTGGTGCTTTGGCAATCAGTTTGCAAACTACTTTCATAAGGAACTCCTTGCATTCCATCTGAAACTGAAGCACTCTTTTCTCTGAAACTGTGGACTTTGCAATCGACTCCTTGATCTTCTTGTCAGCTGTAAACCCCAGGTCAATCTTGGAATGAGAGGCATGAATGCTGGAGTCAGCAGGGTCAAGTTTTGTAAGCTTCAATGGGGTTTTGGCTTCACTGATAACAGTGGTCTTAATAAATCTTCTCATTAATCCCCCAAGCATGCTGTACAGGTCTGTAGCCAGGAAAGGAAGCATAGGCTTGTCGGTTTGATAGAGTGTCAAAAACGGTGTCACTTGCTTGGCTACTGATAGGAAGAAAGCGACTTTTGCAGTCGTAAAGGGATCTGCAACAAACTCTTGTACAGTTTCAAAGGATTTATTCTGTGGCTGTGGAACTTTTCCTGCCCTTGCACTCTGAACATACTTGACAACACTGTCCCACATACTCTGTGTACGTTCTGCAACCAAGACATTCTCCAACCACTTATGTTTGCAGAACTTCAAAGCAAACAGTGAGTTTCCTGTTACTTTGGTGTAGTCCTCTCTCCTTGCCGGACTGTCCTGAAAAAGCCAGTGAAGGCTAGAGAACAACCTGTCTAACTGCCATCCTGATGCCACAGCACCATCCTTGAATGCTCCATGAAGAATGTGTAAACCACATCTGCCAATGTTCAGCATGTGACTATTATGCTCCCTTTTTGCCTCATCAGTCAGCATACTGTAAAATTTCCAATTAACGTTGGGTCCATCCATTGACAACTAGTATGAGAGAAAACATTCCTTGTTATATTGAAAGGGAAACAGATTATTTAATTTAGTACTTGCATTACGTCCCAGAGTTCGTGTCATTGTCCACCTAGACACGAAGTGAACTAGTCATGGATGCATTGGAATTGTGAAGATTTGCAATGAAAGAGTGTTGATTTATTTAGACCTTAAAGGGCAGAAAACCAAGTAAGGTGTTTCATTTCTATTTAACACAATTTTATCGCTTTTTGGAACATTGGCTAGATTGTGAACGCACAATTTATATTACATGCAATAAATTAGATTAAGTAATCTTGCATCTTTCGCCCTTCTACAGCAAAATAATAACAGACATTGAAAGATTTTCATGTTAAAAAAAATTTAACGCAACTTCTTGTAATTATCGTTCGCCGGCGAACGATGAAATTAAATGCCAGTCATGAAAACAATATAATTGATTCCAATTTGATCACACCTTTTTAATAATGGCAAGACATAGGTCTTTCAAAAGAGTGGCAATATGACAAAGAATAATTGAAATTAGGTAATTGTGTGAAGACTAAGTTTGTGCTATTGCCTATTTCGAAATGTCGATAATTGAGGGTAAGAAATAATACAACTTCAAAGAAGCATATCTTGCAAACAATTTCATGGATTACCCAAACATAACGAGAGTTGCATCCTACCTGATAAACTTTTTTGAGAGGAATTCCTTCTATGCCTGAACGAAAATGAGAAAGCATGTCCTCTGCTGTTCCATGCCCCATAAACACTGAGGTATAATAGCGACTTTCAACTTCGTGTTTGTCACGATTCCATGAACGAATGTGAATATCCATTTGCTTTGACTGGCACACGCTATTCAGGCTCTCGTCAAACATAAGTACATAAGCTTCTTCTTTTTTCACAACGTCCTTCAAAAGTTGTTTGAAGTGTGGAGCGAGCCCAAAACAGATCAAGTATGCACATTTCTTTTCTCCGCATGTAAACTGACTCGCGATCCGACTGTCAGGAAACATCGCTTGAAACAATTTGCTCGTACCTTCGCATGATTTATAGGAGTAATGAGACATTATCACCTTCAATGCCCACAAAATTTCTGCTTTCAAAGTCTCATCACGAGTGACAATTCTTTCCATCACCGATGAACCAGATGAACTCGTAGTACTAGACTTTGTGGGGTTGAGCGTGTTGTGTTCGCCACTTTCAGACGAAGCGGATTTTGAAACTTCTTTGGCATCGTCACTTGTAGTTGCTGGTTGTTGAGAAGAAACGCCAAAAAAATCTGGAACGCTTGCTAATGACCTTTTCTGGGATGTCAGTGTTTGATGTTTTTTTCCTTTCAAGTGACTTGTGAGCGCTGACTCTCCCATGCTCGAAATGTCAACATCCTTCATACACACGATGCATCGTGCCTTGTGCTTGTCACCCTTGACTTCTCGAAGCCAATCTTTATACAGTGATTTCTGAAGCCACAAGTTGCTGAAAACACACTTGCCCATTGTTTTAAATCTCTCACTCGTGAAACAAAACGCAAACAATCAACACTAACCCAGACAAGGAAAGCACTCAAAGCACATGGCTTTTCTCAGAAAGAGGGAATAGTACAAAACATTTGATTGGCCCTTGACATTCGAGACATTCAACCAATCAGAGTGATTAATAGAACCAAGAACAGGACAAATGGAGATGGGCGATTGATCGACATGCGGAGTGGCGTTACGATCGTTTGTTATTTGTATCTTACTATTATGTGTTGCTACGTTTGTGCCAGTTGCATATATTTTCAGATAAGGCACTCTAGAATCTAAGTTGGATTAAATTAGCTACAAATTTCAAGGACTTTCCAGCACTGACTACAATTATCAAGGACTTTCAAGGCCTTGAATTTTTATTTTGAGATTCAAGGACTTTCAAGGACTTTCAAGGCGCGTGCGAACCCTGTTGTTACTCGTTTATTTGCAGTGTAGCTTTGTATCTACTTATCACTATCGTGATTTTATATTTTTTGATAGCTCAGTTGTGTTACTCTATATAGCTTTCTGTATTTGTTTTGTCCTGGTAACTAATAATATTAAAATTTATTTCATCACGCACGAGCTTTGTAAAAATTGCAAGTCTCACAATGATTGAAGTCATACGTAAGTGATATGAAACGAAAAGACTCTTGTATTGGTTCATCTTGATCAGTTAGGACATCAGAGGATATCATAGCAACACTGAAGTTTTTTAAGGAGTCTCTTAGAAACACACTAAATTAAGCTTTATATTTTTGTACAACTCAACAATTACGGTCAAACCTGTACTAAGAGGTCAGTTGTCGAAGACAAAAATTGTTTCCCCCTTAATTAATAGCTGTAATCTTCACTTCTATTTAACAGTCACCTCTATCCAGCGGTCACTTCGACGGCCTTTTTGTATTGCCCTCCACCTGTATTAAAAGGTCAATTAAAGCGGAAGAAAAATATTTCAAGCAAAATAAATACATTTTTTATCTCCCGAAAGAAACTAGAATGTTACTAACATTGTTGAACGAGAGGCAAATTTGATCGATTTTTAACATTTGCTCCATTCTGTAGAACCTACCTTTTTATTCTTTTTATTCTTAGTTAGCTTAGCTTTTAATATTTTATACTACACATGATGTAACTGGTATCTATTACAAAGCATTGTTGTAATGATGTAATTAGTATTTATTCCATGCATTTTTGTAATGCGCAGTTGATGATCCCGTCATGGAAACTGTGCATTATAAATTCACAATTTTATTTTTATTATTTTAACCTGTGTTACGAGGTCACCCTGCCATTCCCCGAGGGAGACCGCCTGTACAGGTTTGACCATAATGCGTAGGCCACAAAATGAATGATTCATCTCCCTTACCAATCCTTTCCAATATCACTGAGCGTACAACAAGCGTTGACTAAAACAGGAAATGCCAGGCGTTTTTTCGTTTCTTGCCACCAGTCTCTCTCTCCTTTCGAATTCTGCAGTTAAAAAAGTAGACAAGTTGAATCAGCTTTAGAAAATACTTCCTCGCAACCGGACTCTAAAAGCAGGCGGTTTGGGAAGTCTAAAAACTCAAACCTCAACGATCTTAAGAAAAGCAGCTGGAATTTTTTATTCAGCATTCATTGTTCCTTCCCCTCCTTGTGGAGAGTGGTGAATAGTGAATAGAGATTAGCCTTGGAATGATATTTTGCATTACCAGCAAGATAAAATAATCCCCTTCTCTGGTTTGGCATTATACACGAAAATGATATTTCAAACGCCACGTTGCTCAAATTAACGTTTTTTTCTCCATTCACTCAATATCATATGTCTCAATTAGTGGAGAGACGCTTGTCGGAAATCGTTTCAAATCTCATCAACTACCTTTCATGCTAAGTAAACCAAACGATATGGAACCCTTATTGCGGTCTCTTGAAATCGAGACCATGGAGACAGATCTATTGGACAAAAATCGAAATTAAAGCGCCTGCACTTGAAAACTATATTAATGCACACCTACAGATAAGTAAGACAAAATCTGTCGGAAATCTTCCTGTTTTGAACAAAAAAAAATCTCGAAATTAAACATTCCTTCCTTGCTGGTTGGCCGGATTTACTTTTCTAGAATAGTGCGTTTTTGTTTAATTGGGCTTAGAATAATCGCGAAACTGGTTTTATCTCGAATTAAAAAACAATTTTGCATAATAGAGACAATTTTCTATTTTTGACAGTCCTAGAAGGTGAGACTGAAAATAATCAACCGATTCAGCTGGAAGAACAATACAAGCATCATCAAAGTAAAAGGAAAATTTGTAAAAAATTGAACAGAGTGTGATGTTTGTTCAGTTGGACCAGATATCGGGCTTCGTGTCGAAACAGGAATATATTTTTTTGCATAATGAGTTTCACTGGGTCCGTTTAACATGAAGCACTTTAATAATAGCACGAGTAGAATTCTCGTTTATATCTTTCTGCTTGTTGGGTTTCCGTCAAAAACACCGATCCTAGCGAACGAGGAAGTTTTTCATTCAGACGTATGTTCACCACAAAACCCGGACTGCTATTTTGAACGTTTTTCAAAGCTAAAGTTACCGCGAGTGGATCCGATACAGGCAAGTATGATTTAAGTTTTGTGCACAAATTCTTGTATTTGAAACTATTAAACCATAGGAACCACAAAACAAACCTATAATCTGTTTGATTTTGAAGCAAATATGAACGGTTTTTTTTATGCCGGCCGACCTGTGTGCATTTGCACTTATATTAAGCCAACTGATTCAAAATTGTGAAGAAAATTTACATACATTGATCTGAAAGTCCCAATATAAAGTGGACGGAAGGAATCTTTTCAATCCAATACGGAAATGTTTATTTTGCCCCAATCAGACCCTCCCTGGCGTAATCATATTGCAATTTTTCGTGCATTTTCCCTATACTTTTTCCATTTCTTTTATGATTTCTTCATGAGACTTAAAAAGTTGTAGCGTTAAAAAATTACCCTCAATAAGATAAATGGCGCTGGCGAGGAAGGAGCGAGAGCAGCTCAAAATGAGAAAAATCATTTTTTCAAGAATTTATAGAGCTCGGTGCGTTGGAGGTGCGATGCAATAGAAATTTTTTTCAGACATGCATTACTTAATAATTACTTACAGTGTGTTGCTAAAATCTGACTAATACATACGATCATTTAAGTTACTCAAGGTCGATATCATTCGAGCCGAATTGACTACTTGTAGTTTAATAGCGTTTTTTAAAGCTCGCTTTCAAGGGAACATGCATGAAACTTCCCGAAAGGCTTGGTCTTCACTGCGCTTAGAAGCGAAAACTGTATGGCTGGATAAATCTCTTTAATACAACGTTCGTAATCTTTATAACTTCTAACTAGCGTCGAAGTTGTACTGAAAAGAGCTATCTTGACAGCAAAATTTTCGAGTAGATCTTGAAGAAATACATTAAAATCCATTCCAGGCAGGGTCCTTTGAGTAACGTGGGCACAGACGGGATATTTCATCTTAAAAAAACACACCCATTGTTATTGCAATTAGAACTTAACAATTTACATACATTTCCCATTCAAGGATTTTCCTTCTCAAGTACCTTTGCCGAGCCGTTTTCTGCTGTTTTTTTTTTTTATGATGTATTGCTTGGGTTCATGTTGTTATTTTCCATTCACTCAACTCTGAATTAGAGATGATAGGAAGGTTAAGCTCTCTTTTATGAAAATTCGTGAAATTGGGCACTCAGTAATCAGTGGCTAAGAACTGATCATTAAAATTGGAGGTGATCATCATAGTTTTACACGATTCGCGATTTAATTCTCCCAACCGATGACCCTACATTTCTTTGTTGGTTAACGGAGAATTTGGTATTTGGTCGAGAGAGTGTACATCAAATGATGATTTGTCAGTCCTCAAAGCCTGTCAAATTGATTCTACTCCCCACCATCCCCTCCATCCCCTCCCGCCAAAACAATTTCCATGAAACAAACATGTAGATGGCCTGGGAAGAAGCCTAAATTGAAATATTTACATTTTTTCGATTGTAGGTCGGACACGTTAGAAGACTAAACTTGATTGATGGTGCTGAACATAAAATGACGACAGTCGCTGTACACCCTCCCATATTTGGTAAGTGCATAGGAATACTTTAACGAAACTACATCAGAATTGATCATTTAGCTTCAGCTGAGCCCAGGTCTCTTTTAGGACACCTGCAGTTCCCAACTACACAAAAACCTTTTCGTCCTCCCATAAATACATCTTTCTAATCCTTCAACTCCCATGACATGATCAGAAAATCTCCTTGACGACTGATATACATTTCTCTCAGTTTGAATTTGGAGGTTTATTCAGACAACAGTTACTCCTTGTTAAGTTTGTCTATTCTCCTATACTGTCAGCTTTTATGAGCTTAAAATACCAGGAGAATTAAATTTGCCAATAACTTCAAGAGTTGAAAGCTTGAGGACGCCTACTGGCAAAACATTTGACTGTAGTAATGTGCGTCATGTGTGCGCACCATTGTCGCGTATTTCAACGAGTGAGCTGTTGTTTTTATCTGATGAATAGTTTGTCTCTGAAATTTTGTCATATAAATTTGTCCGATTGATAACAGGATCTCGTGTCGTCCAATTCTGTCTGCAATCATACTCGGGAGTAAAAAAATCGCATTACCGCTTCGCAGCTGTTCGATTTGTTAATATCTCGTATAGTTACAGACCGAATTAGACTCGACCCAGTCCTATTTCCTTTATCAGTCAGTGATAGTGAGTCAGGTGTCCCACAAAGACCATGGTATTTATTTACTTAGCTTCCACCCTTAAACATAGAAATAATAAAATAATATAAGATAATAATGATGATAACAAAGAGGGGTGAGGAACGACACGACAGAGCGAGGCTCAAAATTAAGTGCGCCCAAAAAAAAAAATTAAGTGCGCACAAGAACAGATAACCAGGTTAAGCTCACAATATGCTTTGCTTACCTTTTGTTTAATTTTTAGAAATCCCCAATTTTCTTTCAAATGAAGAGTGTGATCATATAATTGAGTTAGCAAAGAAGGAAGGCCTAGAGACGTCGCAAACAGTCAAGGAAGGAGTCAAACAGGACATGATGGCGCTAGGAAAAAATAACAAAAAAAATTTTGATATTTGGGATCCAAACAAAGATGGACAAATCGACACTGACGAGGTACATTCAGAATTTAAGACAAGTGTTCTAAAATCCAGTAGATTGTAGATGAATGAGACATGTTTTATCATCTACGGGTTTATGTCGAATTAATTTGATGGCCTGCTCCCAGTTGGCTTGTTAGCTCAATTGGTAGAGCGCTGCACTAGTATCGCAGAGGTCAGTGGTTCGAATCCCGTACAGGCCTGAATTTTTTTCAGGTCTGATTTTCACTATTGCTTAAATAGTGCTTTACTGCGAAGGATCGTGCACATATACATATACGTAATGAGACATGTGTTAGTTGTTTTCACGTTCAACTGGTTAAAAATCTCGCTTTTCTGTAGTTCCAGATACAATTAGTTAGAACGATTTTCCAGCAAAATGTTTACAGTTTTCCTCGCCCCTTTCCCTCCCATCTACCTCTTCCAATGTTGCTAATTGCTACGAATTTGGCATAAAACGAATATGCTTTCCTCGCAGATGGAAATTTTGTTTTGTTCTAATTTTTATTTTGTTTTGTTCTAAAACAGATGATCAAAGGTCTGGAAACTAATTTGGACTTCACCCCAGATAAGGAGACTCTGCTCATGATGTAAGGAAATGGAACTAAAACTGGTTTGGTAAACAAACAAATACACAATCAATCAAACAAACAAGATTAACGAAATTGAAAATTGTGGATCATATTAGTTTGAATGTTGTCACAATGTACAATGGCCTATCAGAACAAACGTAGACTGCGCACGCGTGGATGAGGACTCGTTGACGGGCAACTTGCAGGAAATCCGGAATAACATTAGGTTCAGGATTAGGTTCGATTTTTCTTCGGAATGGTTGAATTTAAGGCTGGCGGTTTTCTTTTTTTTTTGTTCTTTGTGTAAAGCAGCAAAAAAAAAAAAAAAAAAAAAAAAAACTAGCATTTTCCGAATCCTTTCTTGTCTCAATAAAAGGTATGAATCCTTGGGATTGGACAAAAATGATGACGGTGAGTAGTTTTAAAATTACGATTTCGTCACCAAATGTTTCAGCCACCTTATTTAAGGACATTATTTTGAAATGATAATTCATGCTTCGAATAGATTATCACAACCATTTCATGACCTCTCGTCTTCCTCATCATCATACCGACATAGTATATTAGCAGAAGACCACTAAGAGAAGTCAAACAAAGCTGAGGTGAGAGATGAATTACTGAGCACACTAAAGCCAAAGTGATCTCAGCAACCAATCAGAACGAAAGAAGATATAACAAGGAGCCAATGGGAACTCAAAATAAACACATAAGAATGGTCTTACGCATGCGCGAGAGTCGTGAGTGACTTCAGTTTTGCGTCAGATTGGTTGAGAAAATGAGGCGAGTGTTCTAGACCAATCATCGGACGTGGTGAACCAAAACCAATGCTTCTCGGATAACATTTGGGACACTTTTATATTGCGATATCTAACAACGTTATAAGGGACAGTATCCCCCTTAAGACATAGATGACATCTTTGACCTGTCCTGACAAAGGTTTTGAATATCACTAAAGCATTGCAATTTCAGGAAGTATTGACTTCGAGGAATTTAAGCAGAGGGACATTCCTGAGATGGCCAGGTACATAGGAAAAGTGAAGAAAGAAAAACCGCATACAAAAAGTCGACATAGCCGTCAAGCCTGGATTCAGAATTACTCGGGGAATTCTGATAACATCATGGCTTCTTTACAAGACAGGTGGGGCCACCAAATACAGCATGCTGCCTGCCTTTCACCTCTGGGAGCGTCAAACACCTAGTTTCTCTATGGGTTAAGAGTATAGGGTTAAAGAGAGGGTTAAATTGTCAGCCCAGGGATTCATTCTCAAAGACCTCGTCGGCATGCAATGAGGTCTAATCGTTTTTCCCATGACGTAGTCATATGCGAAGTAGAGCGGAACGGACTTGGACGTCCCAGTCTTCCTCAGGAAATAAGGTCGACTAGATAGTCCGTATAATTAATTACGTAAAATTCCCTGAGGCTAGTTAAAATGAACACGTTATGTGTGTGGCCAATGACAATTGAAAAAACCTCCACTCATTCTTTATCTTTTCTTGCGCCTGCTCGCCTTGGAGAGGTCTTTCTCTAAAATTTAACTGTTTTAAAGAGTATAAATATGTATTTTCTTACACACTTATACTGATGGAGATTTCATTGTCCGTAGAGTACAACGACTTACAAATCTTCCCTTGGAACTGATCCTGGCCAGCGAGTATATACAAGTAAGTTCAATTATATAGTTTCGCTAACCCTATGAAAGAGCTTTGGTGTTATTCATTGCTAATACTTATAGGACTTACACTAAGATATGTTTATCTGGGAAAATTTACCCGAAGTGTTTAAAGATGATCTTTTTGTTATGGAAAATGACCATAGAAATTAGTATCTAGAAATTTCCAGAATGCCAAGTCATTCTGTTCTCTGTTTGGCTTCTTGTCTCCTTGTTATTTTTCTACTGTGGCAATGATCATTGATTCTCCATACTCTCCCTTTACATTTCCTACGATACAGGCAAGAAGAAGTTGTTTAAAAGATTTAAAGCATCTTAGTTTGTGATCATTTCCTTATTTCTGATGACCTTAAATGCAGAGGTAACACAGTGGAAATATCAGATGCTAGTCACTCCAAACGTTTCCTGACAGCGTTAAAAAAATTCTTCCTGTTGGTAAAAATGAATAGTAATATCTTGAGATCTGTGCTTTAACAGGTGGTATCATATGGTCCAATGGGCCATTACAACTGTCACCTGGATTCAGACTGGGTCAGACCCAATAAACCATGTTGTCATTATGCGGAAAATGAGCTTGATCATTGTAGAGTTTGCAGGTGAGGTTAACGAGATAGTTATTCAGACACTCATGTAAACGGAGCCCGTCTCTCATCAGCTCTTTTTACTAGCTAGAGGAGGTTGAGTCTGAACGCTGACGTCCCATATGCTTTTTTCCTAAGGTTTCGAACTCTCAAGACGTCCTTGGGACAAAGGACCCGTAATGATTGGGCTCAAATTTTCCAAAAATGAGGGACACCGCAAAAACTAACCAACCCTTTCCCACCCCTCCCTTAAAAACAAAAACAAAAACAAACAAACAAACAAATAAACAGAGGTCATGTTATCTAATACGTGGCTGTGGAAATCCTACGTCGCGCAGAGGAGAAAATTTAAGTCCCTCTTCTTCTCGCAAATTGTTTTGAATGTTTCGCTATTTCCACCAAGGAACCGTATTTTAAAAGTTTTGTTATTTTACGCAGATACGCAACGATACTGTATTTTTTGGAAAACGTCGAGGATGGAGGCGAAACTGCATTCCCTATTGCGGACAACACGACGTTCAACGAAGAGGTAGGATAACAAGTCTGTGTTGCAAAAAGTCATCTCTGATTCCGTCAAAGAGAGATGGGGGTGGCCCTGAGTTGGAAAATAACATCCGCAATAGCGATACGTATAAAAAACGCCAGTGATCCTCGTAGTTAAATTACGGCCCTTCGAGCAAAATCTGTTTTTCGTCCCTAACAAACTATTTAGTAAAAATGTCCTTCTGTTAAAATACACATGCCCACGTTGGATTAATGAATTCAAGGTATTTTGAGCTGCGAGGTCACAACGATGCAAAATAAGCCTAAGAAAATGACCCAAATACTGTGATATGACCCCTTTGTTTGTTTGTTTGTTTTTTTGGTTAAATACCAGATGCGTGCTTGCATTGTAGGAATGGATGCGTGATGCAAACAACGTGTGTAATTTAGCCAAGAACTGCCAAAAGGCAAATGTTGTAGTTAAACCAGAAAAAGGGAAAGCCGTGCTATGGTACAACCATCATGTTGACAACTCCACTGGTTGGCTTGGTCCACTTGATCAGTACACTTTTCACGGTGGGTGCGACGTTAAGCGCGGCACCAAATGGATTGCAAACAGCTGGATTAGCGTTGGAGAGGACAGAGATAAAGATATCCTGAACTGGATCGAACTTGCTGAATACGAAGAGGAAAAATCTAACGCAAGGCGTTCAGTAGATTCGGAGAAAGATTCAATCCACGAAGAATTGTGATTGTGTTGCATAAAGTTGGACTGGGACTAAAAAAAAGGCGCTGATAAACATAACATGAAGAGTTGTTACGATTACGTTATTTAGCGAGCACCATTCGCTTTTGCAGAGCCATTAATTGGTTGAACCCAACCGAATTGAATAAATACCACCTTCAAATCAAACAGTAAGGCCTAATTTGCCCAAAGCTTCCAGGTGAAGATATCCTTAACGGATATGGTTGTAAATCGCACATAAATTAAAAGTCTTGCTAAATCAATGTAGAACTTGTTTCGATGGTTAACTAAATAAAATGCTCATTGAATACTTTATAGTCACCGAGGTAAATTTTTCTTTGATCGTAGGTAGCTTTTACAGATTACACTGTCGGATTTCTATCAACGTCTATACTTGCTATATATAATATCGAGATAGAATAAATATATGAATTTCATATATTTTGAACTGCGGTATTAGATACGTAGGATGCACGATCCTCGCAGTAGAAAGCGCTATTTAAGCAATAGCGAAAATCAGACCTGAAAAAAATCAGGCCTGTACGGAACTCGAACCACTGACCTCTGCGATACTAGTGCAGCGCTCTACCAATTGAGCTAACAAGCCAACTGGGAGCAGGCCGTTAAGTTGGTTCGTAATAAAAATATTCTATCTCATTTATCGCTTTCACGGGTTTATTACGAACCAACTTAACGGCCTGCTCCCAGTTGGCTTGTTAGCTCAATTGGTAGAGCGCTGCACTAGTATCGCAGAGGTCAGTGGTTCGAGTCCCGTACAGGCCTGATTTTTTTCAGGTCTGATTTTCGCTATTGCATAAATAGCGCAATCTACTGCGAGGATCGTGCATCATACGTATATCTAATATCGTTGAATCTGATAGGTTGGCATCGCAAAAATATTCTCTCCAGATCATTTCTGGGGACTTGAAAAAGCCAACGGCGTGACCGAGATCCCTGCATTAGACAAAGTTCACAATTTCAAAGCATTATACATCAAAGTGTCGTCAGATGAACCAGTGTGGCTTTTTTCGATGTCGAGGGTAAGCTAAAAGTCCAATTAATCCACCACGTCTCCCTCGCCCACGAGAACCGAGGGCGGGATCTGGGACGGCGTCAGTGACTCAATAGGTGACGTCACATCTCGTAGATGGGTCCGGGTTTAAGTTTGATCAATTCGAGAACGGAGAGGGTCTTCACGTAGTCTGGAGAGGTATTTCTCCTTTTTAATCAGCAGATGATCAACTATTGCTATTGAGTCATAGGTCATTCTTACCGAAAGAATTCCTGAGACGCATAGTTGGGAAAAAAAGACCAGATCATGTAGCGGGATAGAACTGCCAATATTTCGATCTCAGCTTAATAAGAGTCATGAACCCTTCTTAGCAATCACAGGTTTTCTTCTCTCATTTGATTTAAGACTATAAAATACCCTTCTATGTAGACTTGCTAGATGCAATAAGTACGTCGAAAAATGCATCTTCAACTATCACTGAATTCTTAATCATAAACTGTTAATCGTTTGTTCTACGATGTAGTCACTTAAGATGTAGATCGCGACGTTTCAACAGCATACTGCTAGTCTTCATCAGGCAATGGTGTCCACTGCTCATTCACTTCTTGCTGCTGCGAGCCTCCAGTGGGTAATACACCAGGTGATCATTGATCAAATTTCTCAGCTTTGACTCGGACAAGTGACTTGAATAAAGAAATCCTGAGACGCATGGTTGGGAAAAGGACCAAATCACGTAGCAGGATAAAATTTCCAATATTTCGATCTCATCTGGAGAGTCATGAAACCCCCCTTAGCAATCATGGGTTTCCTTCCAAATGTTTGATTGTAGAATATACAATAACCTTTTAAGGAGACTTGGTAGACGCAATAAATGCGTCCAAAAATGCATCTTCAACTGTCACTGAATTCTTGCTGCTGCCTCCAGTGAGCAATACACCAAGTGATCACTGATCAAAGTTTTCAGTTTTGACTCGAACAAGTGACATGAGCAAATACCTTACTCAAAATAAACGAAAGAAAAGTCAAACAATTTGCTGTCTCTATTTGCCGTTCCCTCGTCAGTCAGCGCCGAGTGATTCACGTGTTTAACAAATCTCACTGTCTCCTTGTCTCTGTAAACCAACGCCAAAGAATTCTCTTGTGGGTGGACCGTTAGAAGCTAGGATAAAGCGTAAAGTGCGATAACTTCACTTAAAGAGGGAGACGCAAGAACCTTTTACAGTTTTCTAACTCATGGCCGTCAAAAAAATAAATTTAGAAGACAAATAACCAAATGTTTACATACATATGTACCAAAGAAACGATATTTAAAGCAGAATAAGCTATAAACAGTCGCGTAAAAAAATTGTAAATATGTATATAAAGGAAGGAAGTTCAAAGGAACAAGTGCTTTTCGTTTGCTTTCTTGCGCGTCCATTCGCAAGTTCTTTTGACCCTTCGTTATTTGCACCTACTTATAAGCCTAAATATACAGGATAATTTGGTTTTAACAACTGAGTTGATGAGGTTAATTGTCTACCTTAAAGAGTTTCTACAGCTGACTTTCTAACGTTACCCCCTTCGTCAGAGCAAATAGAGGAATCGTGGTTTATACAAAGAAAGATGAAGTTACGCTATCGGTGGAAATACGATAACGTAAAAGCACAAGAATAAATGAGTTGAGTGAAGAGCGAACGTTGATGCCGTGGGATCACAAGAACCTATTTGAAACATAACTTTTTTTCTAGGAATTTGGTATGAGTTTAAGAGTAGATGTGGTAACTATTTCTGTTCAAAATTGCCACCTCCTTTTGACAGATAATCTAGCATTTGGTACCATTTCAATAGGGAAACAAAAAAAACAAAAAAAAAAGAATGAAAGTATCGATACATCTGAGAATTCATGTCATAAAATAGCGAAACAGTTTTGAGCCACCTTAAACCTAAATGACCTGAAAGCCAGTGTTAGCTGAAAGCATTTTATTGACCTGGCACCGGTTGCTCGAAGGTTGGATAACTACTGGATAAATCTCTCTCCGGTGGATAGCGCAGTACGTTTTAGTAATACTTATCCGTTGGACGGCGATTTATTCGTTGAATGTCGATTTATTCGTTGGATGGCGTTATCCGCTCTTCGAACAACCTGGCCCAGGAAAATGGTGGTTACTATGTCAGTAGATTTTCGTGGTAGCTATACTTACAAGTCCTAAGGGTGGTTGAAAAAGGAAAATTGTTTTCCATGAGTAGAATTACCAGGGTAACGAAGAATGCTCACCTCTTCATCTTCGCCGCTTGTTAAGTACGTGGTGTAGCCACCGTAATCAGTTTTCCATCCTGAACATGAAAGAGGAAAATATTTCAGCAACCGCTATTCGGTCAGCGGTCTGTTATTTGAGGATCTGACAAAGGCGTTTCCGTAAAGAGGTCCAAGTGGCAATGAATAATTGGACTTGTGATTTATCTCGGAACAGAAAAAAATTAAAATCCTCGTTGATTCTATCTTGAAGTGGTTTTGTACACCGTTTCACGAACGGCTAACACTGAACTTTTCTTGAAAACAAGGTTAAAATATTTCAATTTGTTAGGAAGAAGAGTTCTTTTCCACTTTACGTTCGAATTTCCATAGGGATTGAGAGAGACGAAAGAGAAATCAGACAGAATTTTCCAAGAGCAAGATTGAATAATCTAAAATTTGTTTCCCGTTTGAGTATCACCTTCCCCACCAACGTATAACATAACATCCAGAGCAAACTCTTCTCCTTCGGGATCAGTGTCGTGAACTAAAGTGTAACAACCGTGAGTCCACCGTCTGATACAACCATGGCAACATGGGCCTCGCTTTGAAGAGTCGCCCCTTTTAGCACTGGTCTCCTACGGAAGTAAATTAAGGTAAGAATTTGTATGACAGCTGCATGTCAGTGATTCAAGTGCCATGCTATGTGAAGTGTGTTAACATTCGCAGGCTAGAGGTTACATTCATGTAGTAGTACAAATACTGGATTAGCCGAGAGTTACGAGATCTTATACCACGGTTCGTAAACTTTTGAGGTACAAAGTGCAAAGACTTTTCAGGACTCTTCGAAAATTTGTATGAACTAAGTTAAGCAAGTGTACTGATCGGTTCATTCCAAATGGCAAGCAGACCTGCACAAATGTCACGTAAGAATGCAGTGTAAACAAAAATGTTCGCAAGCGTAGATCTTGCGACGCACAGTGATGTTTACTTCTATACTGACTCGAAATCAATTCTTATTTTTTAACGTGTCGGTAAATTTTTCAACTTTGGATCTACATTGCTTTGGATTCATAGAGAGCCTGCTGATTTTCGTTAACTTTCCGTGGTTTTCTGGGGGCCAATCCTAAATTCTGTGACTGTCCAGGCCTGGAAAATGTAATTATAAAATTCCATGACTGTCCAGGTTTTCCAGGACCCGTACTAACGTTAACCCTCTTGAACTGTTAATAGGTTACATGAAATTACAGTCCGTTGTATGACGTGTTCAAGATGATTTCTTGGTTTTTACTTTGTCTGTTTTTCTCATGTCTGTTTTCAATTTTTTTCCTACGACAATTACCTTATCTACAGCATTTTCATCATCCTCTTCGCTATCATCATCATTATCATCATCAGTGAGTGGTACATCAGCCATTTCCAGTCCAGTCATCGTTCTGAGTAATTTGAACATCGGCTCAGACTGAAGTAGCTTCGTCAGCTGTTGTATAACAGATGGAGCTGATTCTGTGTCAGCTTGCTCAAAATGTCTGCAAAAAATAAATTTCTTTAATCCAGGGATGTCAACTAACTATAAAAAAAAAATATATATATATATATATATATAGATATTAACAACAACAACAACACACCAATGCACGGTTCCCATAGAAAGTAACTTCTACCTGAAAAACATATGAAGAGAAGAGCAGAGCTCGAGCAGAGCCCCATACTTAAGAAAATAAGGTGATCACCATGAAGAGAACACCAGAAAAACTGTACATGTACCTGCCATGCTCAAACATCTGCTCAATATGCGGCACGCAAGCGCAATACATGTAAACGAGTAAATGCAGTTTCTTTTTAGGAAATGTTGTCAACTTGAGCTCTGACTTCTCAAATTCAAACTAGAAGGTCCGTTATTTAAACAAAGTTTAGCCTTTGATTGACAAAACCGCGTTCTAAGCCATCTTCAATTTAGCGGAAAGTTTCATCTAAACATTTACTTTTGTGACCAGTGTCGAGAGGGTCGAAAGCTCATAGCAGAAGTCACATCTATTTAATTGAAGTAACCCTTTCAAAAAGAATCTCTGAGGCCCACTGCTTGCGTAAAACTGCAGCTCGGTTTAGACCTGGTGTAAATAACCCGCCAAAAGAGTTATCTTCTGTTATCATGGCGATAGCTGTGAGTGTTACCTTGTAAATTCAGTAACAATTTAAATAAAATGAATGGCACTAAATATTTAAAAACCACAGCTCCCAGGTCACAGCACTTCCAGCAACACTGCATGACAGAACTACTTCATCCTTTTCATCGGAAAGGTCAATATGGTTTCATTCGATGTATCAACGCCAAAGTCATTAGTTGACCGTGTTTTTGTCTCTGTATTAACATAGTTGCATAAGTTTAAAATTAGTTTCATAAATAAAAGTGCCAACCCTGTACCTCTTGTTTGCTGGTCCTTGATACTTCCATTCTATCTTTTCATCGTATAATGCTTCCACAATTTCTTCATATTTATTCTCCTTTAAAAGACAATAAAACATAGCCCCTGAATCAAAAAAAATTTATTGTGAAATTCCTTTGTTGTGGCCTATGTGTAAGGGGTCACATAAGGCCACATAGCCCAGCACATGGCCCCACAATATGATAAGTGCAGTAACGGAAAGGGAAAAAGAGAAGGTGTAATGGTTGTCTAATGTGATCCTTAATTTCTGAATTATGTCGGGCTAGTTACTTAAGGCTTAGCCTGTACATCAGAACCTTGTGCTAAAATAATATTTTCCTGTTTAGCCCTCCCAGCCAGTCAATATCGAAATAGTAAAAATGTAGAGTTTGATATGGAATGGAAATTTACCAGAAGAAATTCTTGCAACTGTATTTCAGATTCATCTTTGAACCGTGCTCTTATGTCTTTGACCACGCTTGTGTCAAGGTACATTGGATTGACCCAATCAACTAGTGCCTCATCCTGGAAACAGAACAAAAGAAAGAGAAAACTTCTGAAAATTTAACTTTCAGAGTTTGCTAACATTAATTTTCCAGCACAAAATTAACCCAACACTGACTGTCATTTTCAATTTTCAACTTAACCCTTTAATTCAATGACCTGGAAATTCCAACACATTGACTTGTAAACAGGTTATGGAGCGCATGGGTTTGTCAGCCAGAGGATGTTACCTACTTTCTCCTGTCTAATTTACAGGGAAATGTATGGTAGTTGTAAGGGAGCACTGCAAACTGGGTCTTGGGATTTAACAAGTTGAAAGCTGGGGGACAGAGTAGACGTTGTTAAGGATTCCTTGCTTAACTTAAGATTCTTCGAGCATGCTGATAAAGCCTTTTAACCAAAATAAAACATACTTAGCTTCCTTACAAGCCTTTTCACTGAACCATTGTTTTCCCATTCCTTATGAGATACTAAAAATTCATCCAAATCAGGTTCTAGATTACATGTTCCATTTGAACATTGCACTTAGGATTCTCTCTTGTTTACCTCCAAAGTACAAGGCTTGAGCGATTTCGGGTGTGGCTCCTGGTAAGGTGCAGGTCTGTCTATAATATCACCATGGAACCATCCACTGATTGACAATCTGGTTTTACTGAGAGACAACACTTCTGAAACCTAGAGGAAGGAAATCAAATTGAGGTTGATGGAAAGTTTTTTGAGGAACAAAATAATATGCTAATAGCAAAATAATTTTTGACCTTCAGATTATGTATTCTGAGAATGGAATCTGAAAATTCATAATTTTTTGGAATAATAAATTGTTGTGATTTTTTAGACTATCATTCCTGCGTAATTCTTCACCACTGGTTGATAACCAGCTTGAAGTTAACTAACCATGATATACTTGCATTTACTGCTGTTACAGGGTTGTTTTAAATTTAAGGTTCTGAAGCAGATTCAAGAGTTAAAGCTCAAATTGATGTCATTTCCTCAACTGACTGCAACCACTTTTAAGAGATTGTTTCAGCCAATGATAGTGTTAGAGTTGGAAACTCATGACCCGTTTTAACAGACCTGATGAAATGAAATTGGTGTCACTTCAAAAAACACCAGCGAGTTCCTCTGTGGAAGCAGAGATTTTGTAATCTGGTCTGGCTGACCATGTTCTAAAAAATGAGACACAATTAAAAAAAATGACATCACTAAACATCAAAACATAATAATGGTAGGCAATTGTGACATTTTAGCTGATATACACTTGTATTCTACTTTACAATTAACTATGACTTTCAAAAGAGAAAAATAATTGTGTGCCTCACAATGTGGTCAGTTCTAATGTGGATGTGCAATCCTCATCCAAAGTGAACACATCAGGGGACCAGCAATTACATTTCTCTTTCGAAAGTGTTATTTAAATAGCATGATGTCGCCTACCATCATTAATTAAATTGGTTAAATAATAAGAAAATTTTGTTGAAAACTGAGGAGGAAAGTTCATAATACCAATTGCTGCTCCAATGCACCACATCTATTTCACTGTTCTTAATTTCCTCTTTATAATGTTTTGTATCATGCTAGCATTTCATTCATTCAAATATTGAAAAATCATTGTATTATAACTAAGAACATTTTCTAATTAAAAGTATAAATCATGCACTCACCATCAATGCAAAAGAGATCAAGGGTTCCTAGAAAAAAATGATTGAAAAACAATAATTAATATTATATTTTTAAACAAATTTTGTACACATTTTAAAGCAAACTAAGGCAAAAGGAAGGTCAAATTTAATAGCCTCCCAAAACTAAGTTCTTCTGATGCCTAGTACAGTCATGGAAATATAAAAATCCATAACAAGTTCTAATTGGTATTAAGGGATCATACAACATGTACTTTAGCAAGAAAGGTAGGTACTTTGATTAGCAATGCAGTTTTCTTGGTGCAGATAGTGAAGACTTTCTTAAGTCTTCTAAGTTTATCTTTGCACCACAGCTTTCCCTTAAATGGTTGTATGCTTATCGGTCAATATGTAACTAAACAGGCGACTCCTTCTCTTTTCCATGAAAAGATTCTTTGGATATATTTGGAATAAATATTGACAATAGGTTGCGTTTTGATAATTATATATCAACTATTTGTAAGAAGATAAATGGCCAGTTCAATTTAATGCTAAGATTTTGTAAACTTATCTCTAAAGATACTCTACTAAGATTGTATAAGGCTTTTACTATGCCACATTTTAACTATTGTTCGTCTGTATCGCACTTTTGTGGTGCACGTAGTACTGAGAAGATGGATACTTTAAACAAGCGAATTCTTAGAGTTATCTTGCAGGATTATAATTCTTCCTATGACTCTCTACTTAGCAAAGTTAACTCCAAATCTCTGTATAAAAGACGCCTTCAGACTTTCTTAATTATATTGTACAAGAGCTTGTTTTTTAACTGCTATCCAGGCTA